GAAAGAACAGGAACTGTCTGTGGGGTTTGCAGGGATGTTGCTGATCGGTCAAACACACAGTGTACTGCTTCATTTATTAAACGAGGATGTAGTATTGAATATATGAATCGTAGAGAGCCACAGCAAAGCCTAAGGGAAAAAAGAGAGAGATCGCCCTAACAAGCTGAGAGGGCGAGCGGTAGAACAGGCAGCATGGCGGTGCTGTGAATGAGAGAAAAACAAGTTATTTTCTGAAAGTTTCAGGCGGTTTCATTATTAAGCACAAATAAACAAACTTCAAACACTGAACAGATGCTTTACTGTGGAGACAGATGCTCTTTGTTTCATTTTCCTCTTCTGCATTTGATTCATTAAATCCTGCATCAATAAATACTATGCAGGTTGGATGCAAAGTAGTCCCAGGAATAAAATGACCAGCAACGTCTTGGTGTAAACGACTAAGCAGACTGAAAACACTTTAAACAGATCAAGCATTAGGGATTTGGGAATATCTGCTACCACAGTTCTTGTACCTGTAAGTAGTTTAGTATTTGTCCGTCTCCAGCCCAGCACCAAACCTAGCTCCTCTCTCTTTACTGTGCAGGGTAAAGTGATGGCGTCCATGTTCTACGAGGTCAGCACTCGCACCAGTAGCTCCTTCGCGGCGGCCATGCAGCGTCTCGGCGGCTCGGTCGTCCACTTCAGTGAGTCCACCTCGTCCACACAAAAGGGAGAATCTCTGGCCGACTCGGTCCAGACCATGAGCTGCTACACCGACGTCCTGGTGCTTCGACACCCAACACCTGGAGCCGTGGAGGTGGGTTTCAGCTTTCACTCAACCTTTTTGTAAAGTCGAGCACCATTTATTGTGCGTTTGCCACTTTCTGCTGTGTGTAGAACAAGTATTATGACATTCAACAGGTCCCGGATATTTCAAAATCTTTTTTTTTCGTTCCCTCATAAATTTAAAATTTTGTGTAATTGTTAAAACTTTGTTCAGAATTTGTAAAAAGAACTTTGGTCCCCTGGTGCTAGTTTAAAGAATGTAGATATGGTTACTTTAATATGAAACTTTAATATAAGAATAATTTTGTTATTACAGTATGTGTATGCATTCAGATTTTCAAGGGTTTAAAAAATGAACAAGGTATCAGCCAATGTTGTTTTTTTTTTTAATTATTAACATTTTTCATTGTTTCTAAATAATTGAGATGAGGATATACTGAGTGGAACATGTTGCAGTTCCAAACCCAACTTGTCAGTGCTCTCTGGTGGACAAACTGCAATAAAGAAACTAATAAAAAAAAGATACATCATTGGCATTTCTATACTGCATTTACAACTACTTTATATGTACTATTATACTATGTTTTCTATTATCACGTAGTTCCAACTCCATTTTAATTGTTTTGACTTTATGTAATTCGTCTCCAGAGTGCAGCTCGTCATTGCCGTAAACCTGTGATCAACGCTGGAGACGGCGTTGGGGAGCATCCAACCCAGGCGCTGCTGGACGTCTTCACCATCAGAGAGGAGCTGGGGACGGTCAACGGCATGACGGTGAGGAATTGGCCCACAATTTTGGACCCACCCCCAAATAAACAAAAGAAACTGTCCTTGGATATTTTTTTTTTGTAATCCATAGTTATCCAACTTTTAGTTTTTAGTTTGATTGTTGTACCAACCAGCACTTTGAACCCATATATCCCCCCTCTATCAGATAACTATGGTTGGGGATCTGAAACACGGCCGCACGGTTCATTCCCTCGCCAAACTGCTGACCCAGTACCGCATCACCCTGCGCTACGTGGCCCCCAGGGACCTCCACATGCCAGCAGAGATCATCAGCTACGTGGCCTCAAAGGGCATCAGACAGGTGGGGGACTAAACTGTGCTGACACAGTATTACAAGCCACATTTGTGACGATGTATGAGTTTGACAAAAGAAAGCATACAGAGATAATGTGTGTTTACCTGTTTGCAGGAGGAGTTTGAAAGTATCGAGGAAGCTCTGCCAGAGACCGACGTCCTCTACATGACGAGGATCCAGAAGGAGAGGTTTGCCTCTAAGGAGGAGTACAACGCCGTAAGTGTTTCTTTCCATCAGCTGCTTGTACTTTGTCTCTTCAGATTAAGGTAGAAAGCAATGCCTTTTTAAACAAATGTACATTTCAACCTTTGTCATTTTTTCTTAAATTATCATTGCTCAGATGAGAAGTTGTTCCATGTTTTCTGAATGTCGAAGCAGGAGACTTTTCACTCTTTCACCAAGTCGGCTTACGTGTCCATGTCCTTTTGTTTCTCAGTGTTTTGGCCAGTTCATCCTCACCCCTCACATCATGACTGTAGCCAAGAAGAAGATGGTGGTGATGCATCCGCTGCCAAGAGTCAACGAAATCAGGTAAGACCCAATCAGCACCATTATGCATTCTCGTACAGTAACCTTTCCCCTGAAATAAGAGAAAGGTGATCTTATGTCAGGCTGCAACTAACCATTTTCATTACGGCAGCTAGTTAATTTCTCGATCGGTTGTTTTGTCTATAAAATGGTGAAACATGCCCTCCAGAAGCTCTCGGAGCATGGTGACGTCTTCAAATTGTTTGTCCGACCACCAATCCAAAGCCCAAAGACATTCTGTTTACAAAGACATAAAACAAAGCAAAGAATTTTCATATCTGAGAAGCTGAAACTAAGGGATTTCTCATCTCAAACTTCACCGTTTAGTTTTCTTTGGCTGCATTTATGGCGATAAGCAGTAGTTGCAGGTGTTTTTTGCATACCACTTCCTAACTGTGCGCTGATGGTGGTTTTTTTTCCCGGGTACGTCGCCACAGACCCAGTTCATAATACTGCAAATGCAAGGAATTACATCAGTAGGCAATGGGCTCAAACACAGTTTGGTTCCCAGCACTTTGCAATAAACAAGAGTCATAACAGACATTTATTTATATTCATTTTGACTTAAAATAATTTGTTATAAAATAGTAACGGATACATTTTCTGTCAATCTGCCTATTGATTAATCCATGTAGCTGAAGTCGTTTGACGAGAAGGCTTCCTGGGAGGTTGGAAATATAATTTCCATCAGATAAAGTGATTTAATCTGATTTGTTCTTGAATGCAACTGATCTCAGAGGAAATCCATCTGAAATGCACTTAAATAATTATTGACTGCTCTCCTACAGCAGTAAAACTTATCCTCTTGTGTCTCCCTTTGTATTTGTCTCTCAGTGTGGAGGTGGACACGGACCCAAGGGCAGCGTATTTCCGTCAAGCAGAGAACGGCATGTACATCCGAATGGCCCTGCTGGCCACCGTACTGGGCAGATAGATCCATGTGGTCCTGTTTGTCGCACCAATTGTGAGCGTTTTTAGAGTAATCGGTTTTAGACACGACACCGGCATCTTCTTTCCTGTAATCTGTGGATTTCTTGTTTCCAGTTCCTGGAGGGGTGTTGAGTAGAATTTAAAAACAGCAACAAGACTTTAACCGAGTTAAGTTTCATGCTGCTACATGCAACTGCATTTCTTCAGTGGGACTGACCATTGCTTGGTTTTCAACAACTGTCCTAAAACACAATTTATATTTTCCCGTAAAACTGCCTCTTAACCAGAAATACTGGATGCTGTATTTGGAATACAGAGAATTTATTTAGTTTTATTTGCTCATGACGGTTAACGGATCAGTATTTGTGCAGTCGTCGGCAATAGTGAGCTTGAGGAAAAGGGGAAGAAAAGACATTTAAATCATAACGTCGATGGTACTATGATGTGTGGTATTGATTCGTTAAATGTTTTGGTAGCTGGGTAAACTAAATTACAATATTAAAAGGGAGTAAATAGTGTAAGGGATTGCTCTGTTCTGACAAGTTATGCTGCCAGTTACATTTGCTGCATCTACTGAAAATAGAGGAACACAAATATTCTCTCCAAACTTGGTCTGTGATGGTTTAGGAGTGATTTCTTAGACTGCTGCAGTTTAATTAAATGTAATCTTTTATCCTCTGGGAACAAGTGTCATTTAAGCGTGGATGAAGAACTTTGTATTATGTGGAGAAATAAATATTAATAAAATGAATTTTCTCTTTTGCATTTGACGTTGTCATTAATATCCATCACATGAAGCAGCACAACATCAAATGTGGCACAGAGCTGTCACATGTAACTGCAATGACTTTTAAGGTTTTAAGTCCTGGTTGTTAAGGTAACGCAAAAACCCAATGGGTTGTGTAACATTACCTTTCTCCTGTTGTAAGTTAATTATTTACTTAATGGTCGTTGAGTTTAAGCTTATTTAATCAAAAACAGAATTAATAAAAAGGATGTTGATGGAGCCGCAGGCAGGGAAATTACATCATTGCCTCCATAAAGCTGTTAATTGTTGGACCTTTTTTGTATAACTAATACAAATATTTCATACTGAGCAATACAAACCTAATGAGACACTGTTTGAATGCAAATTTGCATAGATGGTAAGGATGGAAGAGAAATAGTCAAATCAAGCGATGATTAAAAGTGGCTTTACAATAAATGCTGCATTCAGGAACTGTTAGACCATTTTTTTATTAATTATAATTCACAAGGGTGCATGTATGACTCAGCAACGTTTTAAATATTGAGACGAAATTAGATTACAAGAACAAATAATTGAATCAAATGTGGTTCCTGTAAGATGCTGGAGCTGCTGAAATGTTTAAGAATAAACCTTAATTCTCTGCTCTTTCATGTTTGATATCCTCAGGAAAGCATGCGTGTTTCTGTTTTCATTCTTTGTGTATTTGCAGAGGCACAGGCTAATTTCCTCAAGTGCGGGAATATGCAGCTTTTGGTGAATAACTCATTTAAAGCAGTTATTACAACAGTCTGGATGCTCCCTCTATTTATTTGTCTTCTTCGGCTCCGAGACGATTCATTTGCAAAATCAGGATTTCATGATTAGCTTCATGTGCTCGAAAAGTGAATTCTGGAGGAAACCTTGAAAGCAACATCGCCTTCCCTGGCAGGAGGAACCGGCCAATCACAGCGCGTGTGCCCTCTTGCAAAGAGAAGCGTACAGGAAGAGGCGAAGCCGGCGGCCACAGCAGGCTACCTCCTCTCAGCCACCGGTACAAAAATGAGCCTTCACTAGAGAGCCAAGACACTAAACCGGACTTCTCTATGATCCAGCTAACCTTACAGCGAGATATTCAGTGTTCAGTTTGCACAAGGTAAGGCATCTCGGCAGCACTTTAATCAGCTAGCGGTGAGGTTAGCTAACCGCGTAGGCCAAACTCTATGCAAAAATCCGGCGTTTTAAGGCTGAGTTGATTCTCAACAAAGGTAGCGTGGGTGACGTGAACGTATAAAATGATACCAAGCATCTCACAAACCCTTAGGGTGCACTTTCCGTTCGGATATTTTATCAAAACACCACATAACATGTATTTCTTTAAGTGTTATACTTCTAAACGGGAGGGCGGTGACAGTTGTGAACGACTGCTAATGAGGATTTGCGCTGCTGAGGATGAAAACGCTGCATGCGTGCGCTGAAACGTAGCTAATGCATAAAGACCCCCTGTAGCCACATTTGACAATGCTCATGTTGCACATTTACACACGAGGATACATTAAAATGTATATGCAGTTTAGTGCAGCGTTGTCTAAAGCAATGTCGGGGCTACTTCTGGCTAGCAGGTAGCCCAATATAATGGACCGCGAGTACCAGCTTTTAATGCATTTATTCATGAAGATACACTACTTTTAGTGGTGAGATGTCTCGTGCACCGTCTAACATTTAGTTTAGCTAACAGCTAAACAACCTGTCAGCACCGGGGCCGACATGTCACTTTATTCTGCTGATTAAGTATTTCATGACGGAACAAAGAGGAATATACGCGTTAAATTAAATTGTACGAATGTGTTCTGTTTACGTTTACGTGTGAATGACTGGGTGGGTGTAACATAGAAAGTAGTTCTCCATGTGCAGGGAGATTAGCGGAGGATTAGGGCTCCACAAGGACAAACAGACGACAATCACGCGGCGTTCCTTCTTCCGTCACACCGGAACATGTTGTCCCCCAAAACACACACACCAGACCTTAATTACTTCATCAAGTCATCTGTCTGTCAAGGTGTGCTTTTATTTAGCTAGCATGGGGAAAAAGAGGTTGCAAGGTGATGCTGCATCTAAACAGTGGTGGGAAGTCACTAAGTGCATTTACTCGAATACTGTACTTAAGTACATTTGTTGAGGTATTTGTACTTTACTTGAGTATTTACATTTTATGCTACTCTATACTACTACAATTCAAAGGTAAATATTGTACTTTTCACTCTACTGCCTTTATTTGATAGCTTAAATTACTTTGCAGATTAAATTGAATTTAAAGTAATGTTATATATAAATATATTTATTAAAATATAAAATTAGGCAGCTTTAGTACCAGCTGTGATGTACCAAATATTTATAATCAAATAATATAATTTATCCTGAGAAGGGTTTCTCTGTAAAATTAGTACATTTGGTACATTTTGATGGTAATACTTTTGTGCTTTTTACTCAAGCAAAACTTAAAATTCTGGAATTTCACTTGTAACAGGGTAAAAAAACACATGAATACTTCTTCTACCTCTACATCTAAACTTGAGAAAAAACACAACCTGTGACCGCATGTGCAGAATCGGGCTCCTCTATGTGGACATTCAAGAAGCTAGATCTAATGACCCAATTATATGGAGTCAACTCTCTCTTGGCGCTCTTTCTCCCAGCCTGTGTTGCCTCCAAGTTCTGTCATCCAGATCGTTTAGCTCATAAATGGCGAGCTGTTACCCTGCTCGAAGCCAGAAGTTGGGACATCCTGTTTCTCATCAGAAACTATCTGATAACTCGCTCCTCCCTTGTAGGAGATTTGGTATGTTTGCTGACTTCAAATGAACGAGCCTGACCTGTATAAAGTGAAGTGAATCGTTTTGTTTTTAGCATGACGTGTTTTAACGGTAATCAGAATGCCGCTACACTGATGTTGGATTTGTTTAAACTGGTGTCCTAATCAACCGGAGGCCTTTACTGCAGACAGCTGTTATCCCCACATATTGTGAAGAGATCAGGAGGGTTTCTTACTTTCGGCTTACCACCTTTGATCGTAAACAGATGCAGCGTGTTAGAGTCATGGTTGTGTGTGTGTGTGGGCGGGGGGTGGAGTCGGTTAGGGATGGAGGCAGGATATGTACACACGGACTGAGGGTGAAGTTATCAGATATGAGTATCAAATAATTGTCTGGGAGAGGTATGTTTTATTAATTTTTCTCTGGGGGCTTTGGCTGTTGTTATTACATAGTTGTACCATGTGACACACCTTAGGAAGCTATTTCTGAACAATAAAGAGAGCTATTTTAAGAGTAAAAGTGTTCCAGTCTATCTTAAGAGTTGCTGTCTTCACTGAGGGAGAATCTTCTCAATGTTGCCCTCAGTCCTCACGTGGTTTTTTTCCTAATTTGTGGATTTTTGAAAAGCGTCCTTGTCTCGAGCAATACAACATGTCTTTTGTTGAACTGGCACCAAACAGGACTTTGGTGTCTTTTGATGTTCTAATAATAGGCTTTTAAAAATGTTAAGTACTTCTAAATATAGACCGGAGTAGTAGAATAGCTTGCTTTGTGTCTTTGCCCACACATTTGTTGATCTGCAGGTTTACATTGGTTTGAAATATATTTTATCTACAGTCATACTATTGCAAGTAGAGGGATAAACTGTCTAAATATTTCTGCTAAGCAGTACTTGTTCTCAGTCATATTATTCATGTGTAAGACCAGAGTTTTTTTGAACAAGTAGCTTTTTAAAGGTTCTCTATATGGCAAACAGCCATTTTGCTCTGTGAAGATATACATGAATAATGTCTACCTGAGCAGAGAATGAAGTCACACTCTGTGTGTGTTTTTCATACACACACGTGCTTTGCCTCACTCATTTTCTGCTTTGGTCTCTCAGCTGACAGCCTTTCAGCCACAAAAATAAATCCTGCTGAATCGCTGTTACAGTGAGATGAATATCTGCACTTTATGAAACTTGGAGTACAAAAGAGCCCCAGTCTAAATATTTTGAAAGAAAGACCAAACACTCCTGTGTGTCTCTAGTTTTAGTGGCTGTGCTGCTTCATTTACATACCATAGGTCCTGTTACCGTGATAAAGGAGCACCATTTGCGTACATACAGAGCAGTTTATTTTTTATTTTTTTTATCTGCACCATAACGACTGCAGTTTGCGAATTAACCTAATAGACTTGGCTCAGTGACACTCCATCGAACGCTCCGGTCCGGTGGTGATGGATTGATCAGACTGCTCTTGCCTGGAGGTCTTGCAGGTTTATGTACAAAGCGAAGGCCTCTTCCACTGAACTGCTCTCTCCTCACAGACTGCCCACGGTTTGTGCAGCATGTTGGGAGAATTTGGAGTGTTTACATCAGCTTTCTTGGCTTCAGCAGGCGAGCCATCTGGTCCTGCAGCGTGTCCGTCGCTGAGAAAAGTATTGGCCTTTTTGATCTCTCATCTTTCAAATCAAGAGCCCACTAATCCTAACATTTGAGAAGCATGGAAACCATAAACGTTTGTGAAAAATGACTACGTGCATATCAGAATAGATTCTTATTGACAGAAGAATTTGTGGGAAATTGTAGCTGCCATTTTGCAACACGTTCTAGTTTTTGTAACTAGTACCATCTTTTAAAATGACTAATGTGTGAAGCTTAAATAACAGGATGATTTTTACTTAATCGGATGAGAGACGGTAAAAGCGAAGCTGCTTTCTCCTGCAGCGCTCCAGATCTTTCTCATCAAAAACAGAAATGGAGTTGAAGCTGAAATGTGAGTCAGGGAGGATGGTTATCAGCTGTCTGACCACCAATGGATGTTGGTTTCTTCCAACAGATGCCCTCAGGACGGGGATGTTAATAGTTTGGATGTGAGCAAAGTTAAGTACTTTTTGTGTGCGATTGCTGAGAACACAACGGATAATGGGAGTTGTTACTTCGCTTGCACGTAAACACACAAGACAGCCTATAACTCACTGAAACTAAAATCTGATAAACAGGATGTACCAAGTTCATGCTGAAAGTGCTACTGTTGACCCCATCATGGATACGTGTGCTTCCTGTGGTTGCTGTGACCTTTCCTTCATCCTTGCTGTACGCCCTTAGACCCTAATAACCCCTTAAGTTAACGATATCACTAGCGGGTCTCACACCTTTATAACTGATGTTAGTGGCTTCATGAAACTGATGTTAGAAGTAGGTCTACGATTATTTTCATTATCGATTCATCCGCCGATTATTTTCTAGATTAATCGGTTGGTCTTCATTGTCAGAAAAGTACACGTTGATGTCTTTAAATGTATTGTTTTGTCCGTCTAAAAACCCAAAGATATTCAGTTTAATATGATATAAAGAGCAATATAAAAAAAAGGTTCTGTGATTGACTGATTAGTGGACTAATCGTTGCAGCTCTATTAATAAGTGTAACCCATGCGCTGCTGAACCCAAGTTAGTTAATTAATTTATAGACTGAAAATACATTATTATTTTTTACAATTGATGAATAACTTATTATAAATGACTTATTCTAAAATGTGTCTGTTTTTGTTGAATTGGAGTTTGAATATGTGTCCAAGAAAAGTTCAAAACACGCTATTTGAAGACGTTGCAGGACCGCTCTTGGCTATTGGGACCGTTTTTCACAGTTTTCTTGCCATTTTGTAGACTAATCGATTTAAAAATGTATCTAACAAGCCAATTAATCTAATCCAATTTCATCCTCTTCCAATCCAACTGCAGTCTGCTCCTATGAGCATGATCTAAATAAAGAGTAATTGTTGGGTATGTTTGGGAGAATATACCCAACGATTACCCCTTAAAGGTGAGCAAATTGAAATCAGAGAAACGGTAGAATACGAGAATCGATCCACGCTACTGTGTCCTCTCTGTTAAAGGAATACTTCACTCACAAAATGACCGTTTGTACATCAGTTACTCACCCCGTGTAACCTTGAATTCTTGAAGAAAGCTTTGTTTTTTCTCATATGCCTCCATGGTGAACGGAGAATTAGGAAAAACGGAGAAGAGTCCTGATGAATTGAAGTAAATAGGGGGGGGGGGCACGTTTAACAGCAGCAAAACACTCATGCTTGCGTAAACTTGCTACTTGATTGTTGAAGTCCGCACGAGGTTGAAATGTTTAAAATTTTACGATTTTATGGGTTCACAACCGGATAAGTGAGATGTGGATTATGCCGTTGTTTAATGCAAAGCCCCGTTCACTTCCATTCATCAAGTTTTTCAATCATTTCAAGAATACAAGGTAACACGCAATGAGTCATTGATATAGAAATGGTCATTTTTGTGGGTGAAGTATTCCTTTAATAACCTAAATATCTGAGTCCAGGTCTTCACAAAGAGAGCAGACGACTTCATAATGGTTCGCTGAAATAACAAAAGCCCTCGGTTCACACAGCTCTACCATTAGCTGGGGATTTGTAATAACTGCAAAATGTCAACTGGGTTTTTAATCCTCTGTTAATCTGCCCACTTTGTAATATCTAAAGTACAAAAGAAATCAGACGCAAATTGCCTTCCATATGCCAGAGATCACGTCTGATACTACTAGTCCTGCGTGAACAGACATCCTCATAGTCGTATTGTTTTAATCCCTTTGTGGGTGTCCTTACTTTCATCCTGGAAGTCTAATGGAGGCTGCAATGGAAATGCCTCATGACAAACGCAGTAATGTAAAGCGTACGTGCAGGGCCGTGTGGTAGCCACAGGCTGACCGGATCATTGGCCTGCTCTGACATGTAATCTGTCAAATCAGCAAAATGTAATCTTCTTTAGTCAACAACCCTGACAGCATTATTTACGTGGCTTAGTAAGAGTCAGTGTGTGTACGTGTGTGTACAGTAGCCATACTTTCATAGTAAGCTCTTTTGTATATTGTTATTGTGAAACACCAATTCCAAGCTATTTAACATCACTGTCATTCTTTCACTCCAGTTACGGAACAATAGTGACTATGGGTATAATATTGCAGTTGTTTTTGATTTGTACGCCTAAACCCAGGAGCGTTATACCTCACGCATGTGCACCCCGAGACTGAACTGTGTGTCGGGTGTAGTTTAAAGACGCTGAAAGCACAAGAGAGGAAGATGATGCAAAACCAGCATTGTGCACGAGGCCTTAAAGATGGACCTGTGGGGGGAAAAAACAAAGAACCGCCATCTGATTTTGCTATAAACAAATGAGCGAACCCTACCTGCTCACGCACTGAGAGCATACAGTCGTCTCACATCCTGCCCTCTTCATGTCCCTCTTCGTCTCATCTAAAGTCTAAGTGCAGTCGTCACCTTTGAATGAAAGGAGAAGGGGGAAATGTTATGCCACACCGTGTGTATTTAGAGGTGAAACTGACCCACAAGTTTGTTAATTAAATGATTGTTGAAGTGACACGTATTTACTCATTTAAACTTCATCGATGTTTCCTGCTTTCCTTTTGTTTTCTTAAACATATTCAGTTTAAAATGATGAGACATTTGAAGATGTTGAGCTTTCTGAACTTGCAATGAGCATTTTTCTTCTTTTTTTACATTTGACAGACTAAATGATTAATAAATAAATAGGGGAAAACTCACAACAGTAAATGCTCCTCTGTAGAATTGGACCCGAATATTTGACTATTCGAATATTTGTTCGTTCGGTTCGACTTTTATTATGTATATTATGTATATTTTATTTTTTTCTATTTCCTAGTTATTTGTTTGCTAGATGTAGGCCATCAACATTTCCTCTTCTATAATTAAACATTTTAATTACAGTCACAGCCGTGAATGCCACGCTTCAGTTCACCTTGGCCGTTGAATTGAAAACAAAGTGCCGAAGACCTCAGCTGTGTGCAAACACTTTAAATTGAGCGACGGAAACACAGAGGCCGTGTGCAAACCTTTGGGGAAATGTTTTTTGGATTCAGTATCAAAAAACAATACAAACAACAACACTATAGAATAACAGACTCCTTTAATTGAAACGAAATATGTCTTTGCAACTTATTGTGGTTGTTCCTGATAATTTTGAAAGCACCTCCACCGTGTGGGAAGAAGCGATAATTGTCATGTTGTAATTATAATTGTAGGACTCCATTTAATTGTAGTAATAATAGTTGTATCTGGCCTAGTTTTGAGGGTCTGTGTTTGTATTCTAAACTGAGATCGGTAGCACATCTGGTCAATGTACTCCTTCAGGCAGAAAGGCACCAATAGTCTTCTGTCCTGACGTTGTGTGCACTAGCTGCTCCCTCGGTAAACAGCAGTGCTGGGAAGTTGAGACAAAGTGTTGAAGGGCCAACTGAGCTGAATCTTGCAACATGGCCGATAAACTGCGACGCTTTATCTTTTAATCCCTTGGCAACATTTACTAACATTTCATCATCTTCAAATGATTTCTGACTTCCTCTCTCTCTCTCTCGGTCCCTTTTTCCTAATAACAGAGGTGAGCCATGGCTGAACCGAACCCCTCCCGTCCCCAAAGGAAGATGTCCACTGCTGGGGAGAGTGTGTACAAGGTGCTAGGCCTGGAGAAAGGAGCGACGGCTGAGGACATCAAGAAAGCCTACAGGTAAGCCGTCTGAACGTGTAATAATCTGAATTGTTGCCGAGTTAAGATGTGTCCTCTGAAAGGCTTAGTTTCTCCAGAGTAGGCAGGCTAACCACGTTGTAATTATTCCTTAAGGCATTTCCTCAACCCGTTGCCTAAATGAGTGTAATCCAGTTCCTGATTGTTTTGGCAAATGCCGCCTCATAGACATTCCTCCACCAGTTATTGCTAAAGAGCAATAATCTGTATTGTGACTTTGATGTGGGCGGAGGAACCGCGTTACATGTGGCATCGCTTGTTTTTTCACAAAAAAAACGTCTCTTTTTTTGAATAGCCATTGAAATTACTTTGATAAACAACTAGTTAATGGCTAGTCATTGACAAACTGATGAAAATGTCCTAAAATAAATCAAACCTGATCCCTCCTCCACTTAAACACTTTTCCACATTTTCCTCTGATTTCCTGTGTGCCCCTCTTCTCTCCCAACAGGAAACTAGCGTTGAAGTACCACCCGGATAAGAACCCGGACAACCCGGAGGCAGCGGAGAAGTTTAAGGAGATCAACAACGCCAACTCTATTCTAAACGATGAGACCAAGAGGAAGATCTACAACGAGTATGGCTCCATGGGCCTTTACGTGTCCGAACAGTTCGGAGAGGAGAGCGTCAAATATTACTTCCTCATGTCCAAGTGGTGGTTTAAGGTTCGTTTACCATCTTTAAGCATGAAGGGGACGGGTTAAGTTGCTACAGTTAAGAACTTTTTATATGCAACCAGTGTAGTATTGATCAATTCCACTTAGGGCTGCATGATTATGACCAAAAATGTTTAATTGTCTTTCATGCTGTTAGGTTGTTGTTCCTTACAGATGAATGTTGTTTTGTATGAAGGGCTTGTTTTGTACGTGGGGTACAACACGCTGTTCAACAGTTGAACCAGACTGACGACAGAAGGAGACAAAGATCCCTCTGAGCAACAGTTGAATAACAATAGAATAAATCACGATTCGTTGGGAAAAGAAACTGGAAGCTTAGCGTCAAAATATATGCAGATTTGAATATCAACGGGCTCCTGTTTCAGTGTCGAGTGCACAATGATGCAGCCTAGAACAAGCTGGAAGCTCTTCAAGCTTCACAATAGAAGGTTCGTATTGAAGGAACTAAGAAAAACATCAATGTAGAACAGCTGATTCCATATCTTTGAACGGTAATGTACATGTGGTCACCAATAGATGTTACCTTAGTATGAAGCCAGAGCTTGTAGTGTTACATATTTCATTATGGGATGGCTCTGTTCTTTCCCTCTACAGCTAGTTCTGGTAAATTATGAAGTGAAAGATTTCTTGTGTCAGAATCTGAACACAAACTTTCAAAATAGGATTGATCTTTTCTCTTCTCCTGGGTAACACACTTTTATGACTGTTAAGATTATAAAGTACCTTCTCCTTATTTCACTATAGCTCTCACACATGAGTCCTAAGTGTGCAGAGGTCAGTCCTGTTAGGTCCTCCTGTGTGCCTCCTCGTTGATGGTGTTTATATGTGGTTCTGTTTGTTGGTTCCTGCAGGGTCTGGTACTGTGCTGCACAATGTTCACCTGCTGCTGCTGCTGCTGCTGCTGCTGTTTCTGCTGCGGGAAGTGCAAACCACCCGACGACGATGACAACTACCAGTATGTGGACCCGGAAGACCTGGAGGCCCAAATCAAAGCAGAGCAGGACGGAGGTGAGAGGGCGCTAAACATAGTTAGGGTTCAACGCTGATGTTGTAAATACTTTATTTCTGGTATTTAAAGGAAAAAAAATAAAAAATTCATAGATTGTTGCACGCCATTGTGTATCCTTTAGCTTTGTGATTAACTACCGTACATCTAGGAGACGGTACACGCTCCCCCAAGGGTGTGAGGACCTTTAACCATGGTGCATTTCACACGCCTCATACCGATCAATTAAAAGATTACTTCACCCACAAAATGACCATTTGTGTATCAGTTGCTCAGGCCGTGCTACCTTGAATTGTTATTGTTTTTCTTACATGCCTCCATGGCAAACAAATCAAAAACGGAGAGAGGTCTTGATGAATAGGGGGCCGCGTTTAATAAACAGCATACTAAACAGGTTGTGTGAGAATTCATAAACAGATCTTTATATATATATATATATATACATATACACACACAGTTGTGTGAAAAAGTGTTTGCCCCCTTCCTGATTTCTTATTTTT